TGCTGATATAGCGTGGTGGGAAAAGTACGCTTGTGCGAATATAGACAGCAAGCTACGTCTCAGTGCGAGACTAGGTATGGGACCCGATGTTGGGATGCAGTAAAGAAGACTCTAAGAGCTGTGAAGGCAGAGAATGTCGTGAGAAGATGTCTGTCGGGAAAGGTGAAGGCGACGATGAGAAATTGCGAGAAAGAGGCGTTGTTCGATTGAACGGTGAGAACGTAGAAATGTTGCGAGATGGCGCCCTGCAAATTTCCCACAAATCGTGGTCTCACAGAGGACGAAACCTATGGATCCGGCGTTTCTTCATATTATCCACGAACCGATGAAGCGAAGATTGCGACTTAGGAGGCTATACATGAAGAATACAAAAAGAAGGGACAGTAAAAAAGGTTGAAGAGCGCAAGGAATGGATGTTTCCGCCCAAGACGTGGAGACGCATCACTTGGGAGTATTGCAGTTCTTCTTCTCGAAGTCGAAAGTAAACCGCCGACTTCAGGCGCAAGAATAGTACGAAGATTGAATCCCAGATCGAGTGAGTTTGTGTCCCATGATCCCTGATGGCAGTCTTTTCGAACAACCACTCGATAAACGTTTGAGTCGTTAAACGCCACTCCTATCTTGTCCTTTTCCAACTTACGTGCATCGGATTCATAAAATCGATCATAAGATTCGTCACAATTGTAATTCATGGAATGAAGTCCCGAGGAGAACAAAACCAAAAGAGGATTTCTTGGAAAAGCAAAAAACGCGAGAATCTGAAAAACTTTCCGTGCCCGCAGGAATGGAACCACCCGTTTGCTGCTGTCGGGTTTGAGGACGCTAGTATAGAGTGGACAGGTTATCGCAGATATGATACGAGTGCAGGCACGAATCCTACTATCCTACTTATATAATCGGCTAGCGTGTGTCTGTTGGTGTGTTTGTGTGTGTGTGTGTNGTGGTCTACAGTGTTGGAGATAAGAACCTTTCGTTGTGAATTACGAGACCTTTCTAGGGCTATATTTTTACTAAACTTATTCTGAAGCCCCAGTTTGGCACTTGAACGGATGGAATCGCAAATAATTTTTGACTCACTCAAGACCTTCCTCCAGATACAAATAGGCAAACATCGTTGACAACACAATTCTTTGGACATACATTTGATTAACAAAGAGAACACTTGATTCTTCTTGCTCTTCCAATCTGAATCTCAAATACTTTTTGGCTTCCAGGTCCTGACGAAGGCGATAACCCCGAAAACTTGACTGAATAAAGAGCTGTACCATCTTGGACGAGGCTATACCACACCTTCATACTGAGCATCGCCTTATTTTATTGTTTATTGTTTATTGTTTAGTACGTCATTCGACATGCCGTCAAAAACGTAAACATGATGCGTAGAGACAAAAACTCAAACTGAAGAACTAATCATAACAAGTCAAAAATGAGGATATCTATGAAGAATTCCTAACCACCATCTAGTCATTCTGGTATACCTAGAACTGAGCATTACGAACTAGCAAAAATGGTTTAGAAAGCTTTGGTGTAGCTCAAGACGAGAGCTGGAGAACTGATACAGGGGTAACCAATCGATTTCACAAATTGTAGAATAATAATCTAGTGACAATAAGTATGTAAACCAAGTGTAGTAAAGGCGCAACCATAAGCAGTTGGCGTAGTTAGCCATGAAGTAAGAAGCACTTGCCCGGAATGGGACCCCACATCAGCCGGATATGATGCCCTTCGCTACAACCGGGGTCATAGGGACCACGCCAAAACTTCGAGACACGGGTTTACCGGCCACCCACGTGGAACTGGCAAGCCGGGGTAGCAGTGAAGCCAGATACTACTCGCAAGCAAAGCATATAACACCAACTGGGATGGAGGGTCCTTAAAGGCACTGTTAACAAAAAAGTAAAGGTACCCTTTTTTTGACGGTAATAGGTAGAACTACTTCAGAATAAAGCGATAACAACGAAAAAGCGCAAAAAAACGAGCAACAAAAAGTATTACAAAGGGACAAAAAAAGTGCTAGAAAGTGGGGTTGGACATCTTTCACATTGGAAAACGGCGGTTAGGGAGTGTTCGAGCGAGAATGCACGAAGGCGACGCAGTGTCTGCAATACAGACAACACATCGAATTTAACGGAGTTTCTTAAATAAAAAACATTTGCATGCAATAATCTACCCAAAATATGTTAAAATCTTCAATAAATTTACGAGAATAGTTGAAGAAAGCTACCGTGAAAAATTCATAACAAAAAACAATAGAAATAACAAACATAAAATAGAAATAACAGCCGAAAACTAGCTCCTGTACGAGGCTGTCGACCAGCTGATCATTCCTGGCTATTTGCCAATCTGCGTATCGATTTTTCACCAGCTTCGCTCCAGTGCGAACGTGGTGAATGACAATTTGAACACGTAGTCAGCCTAACGAGGGGCGGAGGCATCGCGTCCCCCACTGTTCCTGGCCTTATTGTGCCCTATCCAGCCGTTTTCCGACCTAATTCCTGCACAAATGTTATCAGAGGGGGCTCAGAATTCTAACCATGTGCATATCTTCGAAACCATTTAGTCGTTAACAGTGCCTTTAATGGTTCATTATTTTCAAGATGAAGAGCACCCGATTGACACTTTTAATCGTAGGCGTATGCGCGGGCATTTGGTGCACGCATTGGCGTGCGTAGCCCAACTGGTACATTATATAACGCACTGAGTGTGTCTGTTGATTTGTTGTGTGTACAGGATGGCTACAAAGTATGGTCCCCCAGTTCTATTCTATGTTTTTTGGTAATCTGCAAATTCCCGTTTCAGTTGTATGACATATGCATTGAGTAAAGCAGGAACGCAGAAAGTAAACGTGCTGTTGCCGATATATCGAAACTCCTGAATCAACCTCCGTAGAGAAGTGCGACCGTTCCCACATGAGGCAACCATCACGCATCTCGTCGACCAGCGATTTTCTGCTGCTGACATCGAGAGATTTCACATCAACAACACAACAACAAAAGTAATAGTGGTTGGCACAAGACAGCGAACGGGAACATTATCTGCACTTGCAAAAATAGGCCGGCCAAGGGCTGTCAATATTCCGCGGACCCAAGAGATCATCAAGAATAAGATTTGTCACAACAGCAAAGTCAACTTGAACAGGATCGTTTCCTATTCGATTCCTATTATTATTTCGCAGGAGTGTTCAGAAGATTGTCAGACAAGACCTGTATTTGTGCACTTATCGCTTCTTTTGAGCACAGACGTTAACCGCAGCTGCCATGAAGAATAGGCTCGAGAAATGCAAAACTCCTCTCTGCGGTCCATATGGGCCGTCTTTCAGATATCCGTAGACGTGGACCGATGGAAAATCTCTGCTGTAGAAGTTGCTGCTCACAACAGCCAAAATTATCGGTAGCTGCTTTATCGGGCCAAAGAAACTTCAGAAAACGAAGAGTTATAACTGGGTGTCAGTCTCCGAAATCAATGATGGTTTCGGCCAGTATAACCTCTGAAGACAGAACTCCTCTCTCTAATTTTGTCGATAGAAACATCTTCAAAGCTAACCAATTGTTATTCCGAAAGGCTCTTCAATGACATTGGTCCGCAAACACTTCAACATGGATCAAAGTCAACGATTTTCCTTTGCAAGCGTCACCCATCCTGGGATAAGGATACGTGACTCCTAACTCCCGAGACTTGAATACAATGAGCGATTGTGTGAGGGTCTATGTGCAGCATAAAGTCTTCTCCTGCTTACGCATTCTGGATGGATTGAAAGCAGCGCTTGAGAGAGAGTGGGAGTAGATCGATGTCAAATACCTGTCTGTGGAAGCTTCCACCAAGAGCGCGGACGCTTGTACTCAGGCAAAAGGAGACCATTTTGTACAATACCTCGCATTATTGTTTCTAAGCGTAATGCTAAACATATAGTGGAGTTTCGTTATGAACCTTGCTCATTTGATGATTTTATAGGCGATTAATCACCGTACTATATTTTGTAGCCACTCTATATGTGTATTTGATTGGAAGGGTGTAACTCCCGTTCTCCTGGAGCTAGAGGGCTCAAACTCAATCGGAGACAGGCGCGGCAGCATGGGAACACCTGTGGTGGGTGGCAGGACTGGACCTCGGCGCGGCATGCGCGAAATAAATGTCTGACCGGACAAGAAAAGAAAACCGAAAGTAGGTGGCAGGTCTAGAATCCGACCGCAGGGGGAGGGGCGTTAGCGAAAATTGTTATTTTGATCCGAGAGCGATCAAATTAGGTAGGAGTGCTAGCGGCAATATGGGAACCCTGACGATAGGTGGGGGACTAGACTCAGCCCGCAGGAGGCGAAAACCCGCTAATTTGGGTCTGCAGCGTACAAATTGGGTAGGGGTAGAGGCGGCAGTATAGGAACACTGACCATAGGTGGCAGGACCAGACTTCGCTCAGAGGGCGTGGCGTGAGCGAAAATTATTATTTCGGTCCTAGAGTGTTTGAATTTGGTAGGCGTACAGACGGCAGTAGGTGACGCGACTATACTCCACCCTCTGGGCGTCCGCGAAAACTATTGATTTGAAAACGGGCGTTCAGATTGGTAGGGGGACGGGCGGAAAGATTGGGACACAGATGGTAGGCAGTAGAGAGTGAGTGGACAGTATCCCTCCCGTGGAGGTCTAGAGGGTGTAGGGGAGCGTGGGTAGAAAGTGATCAGCGTAATCTTGATTGATGCAATCTAAATCTACGCAATCTGGTCAAGTCGAAGGAAGAGGGAATGAAGTTACCTAAGTATACATATGAGTCGGACAGCACTCCACTCATGACCGGCGAAGCGCTTGTGTATGTGTGTTTGGTCGGGAAATTATACTTCTGCTCCTACTGTACCATGGCGTCCAATCTTGGAAGGGTGGTGGGCGACAGGCCAACTTCAAAACAAAAAAATGAGTTTCCTGTGTCAGCCGGGCGATGGTAATTAGTAAATACAGAGTCTTGGTATATAATAATGCTTTGCGCTGTCGAGTGAGTACATAGTGATAGTGTTCGTCCAGCGGACAGCAGCGACAGGTGTATGTTATCTTGCGTTAGAGGACATCAGAGCACCGTCCATCGCAATACTTTCCACCCAGACGTCGGTTTCCGCGAGGCATGTAATCAAAGTTTTCATCTCGGAATTCTCTCAGTCAGAGCCTGCTTCTGCTATCGATTGCAATTGAGTCCCCACTCGCATACCCGCGGGACCTTTGCAGTTTAGGATACATATAGTATTTGGCAACATAATATATTCACATGCATTAATAAATAAATAAACAAATAAGAAAATATATATATATATATACTTGGCGTAGGAACTTTGATAGTTTTCTATGACCACATTGCAACATGTCTCCCGCCAAAAATTCAAACGTCGTTAAATTTAAAAAGAGTGAAGATATTTCCGTTTCCTGAATATTTTTCTCAAGAAAGTCTCACCGTTACACTCAGGTCAAAAACGCACGTGATGAAGTTGGAAACTCTCAAAAGGATTCCGGAGGACTCTCTTTCTCTGATCACAAAAAGAGATAAAGGCGCATGCCTCAGCAGCATCGACACAACGGATTGTGAAAAGGCTCGATCTTCACTGTTTGGTTGGTTGCTTCAGGAGTTCTGTCGTTTTCACTTACCTCTTCTTTGAAGCGTAGCTAGGATGGGATTAATTTTGCAGTTCACCCACTGGGAGAAACGGTGACCATGTAGGAAGAGATAAGTGGTGTCGAAAAATACTCAGCGAAGACGCCACAAGGGCTTTAAGTCCAATGACGACACATCACATTAAGACACCCATTCATGTGTGAGGAAAGAGCTTACTAGGAGGCGGTGATGGGGAGACTGCATTGTCAATACATGCATAATGTACCCACTTCTCGTACACAATCCCTTGAGTCAGCGTTCGTTCTACGACACATGTCATCGCTTGCTGCGCCTTCATTATATAAACGTAGTGCGGCCCTTTGAAATTAGGAGCGGCAGTCTTAGGATATGGGATCGAGAAAGTTAAACGCTTCTGCTGCAACAGTTTTGTCTGAGTCGTCTGACCCTTTCTTGTGCAGACGTTAACTTTGCTAACCCCTTGACGCAGTGTGGCTTGAAGGTGAGCCGCGCATTTTTAGTGGTGTGGGACAGCGCGGCTGAACGATGAGCCGCACACTAATCATTAGTAATACATGGATTCTTTTTCCAAGTTTTTTTTGGATTTACTAGCTATAGCTTCTCCCTTGTCCTATTATTCAATCAGTCCATCATGTTTTTTCAAGTTCCTAGATTGCGAAAGCACTCGTACATCTCACCCATTCAGAAGAAAGCGCCCTCGTCTGATGTTTCTAATTACAGGCCCATCAGTATTACATCCATTTTCTGTAGGGTGTTTGAGAAGCTGCTAAGAAAGCATACTCTTGAGCATCTTGCAGAGATCAATTTGATTCCTGATTCACAACATGGTTTTGTAACAGGAAGATCTGTAGTTACGAATATGCTTGAATCACTTAATTACTGGACAGAGGTTTTAGATAATAAGAAGAGTATTAATGTGATCTACTTTGTTTACCAAAGCCTTTGATAAAGTCAGTCATAAAAAGCTGATCTATAAAATTCGTCAGTTTGGTTTCCATGAGAAAGTGTACAAGTGAATAGAGGAATATCTCAGCGAGCATAGTTATGAAGTTCGCATAAACAACTCTTTTTGAAAGTCCTTCATGCAAGGAGCGGGGTTCCCAAGGGGGGGGGGTCTTATCCCCCCATACTTTTCAATATATATTCTTTGCCCATGATTTGCTCTCATTACGATGTTGTGTGTAAACAGTATGCTGATGATTTGAAATTTTACAGAGTTATTAACTCTCCTCTAGATGCCCATTCCCTACAGTCTTCCGTCAACAGTCTCGTACAGTGGTCCACAGATTTGAAAGTTCCTCTGTCCTCTACCAAATCCTGTCATATGCACTTGGGTCCTCCTGGCTCGTCCGCTTACTTCATGAATTCTAAGGAGATTTTTAAGGTTAATGAAGTTAAGGACCTAGGGTTCCTATACAATATCAGCTTGACTTCTCGTCACATTGTAACCTAGTCTGCAAAAAGCCGTACCATGGAACCTATCATATCTTCAAAGCTCTGACAGTCAAGGACTCTAGAACACTTATCTCGGATTACAAAACTTATATCCATCCATTAGTGGAGAATGGGACTGAGGTATTCGGCTCGCATAAGAAGAAGCACATTGCTTCAATCGAGAAAGCCAAAGATAATTTCACCAGAAGAATCCTGATTCGTCGCGATATATTTCTTTATTCGAGTATACCAAAGGCCGAAATACGGAACAAGTATTATGATTTTCCTTCTCTGCCGCCCAGACGAACTTTCCTTGACTTATGTATGATTCATAATCTGCTCAGCGAGAGATCCGCGGTTGCTATTTCTCAGTTTTACAGCCTTATTCCATCTATCACCAGGGAAGGTCAGCTCAAATTATCTTTTCCCAGGCCTAAAAGCACCATCAGGCGCACTTTCTTCACTGTTAGGGCAGGTCTTTCATACCTGCATTTCAGTAAATTCAACTGCTCCTCAGACTCTCGGGCGTCCATTCGAAACTCAATAGCAAAACTCACACAAAACTCGTAAAGAAGGCATGGCTGGTACCATGCTTCCATTTCTAATCAAATTCCATGTACGGCTTTCTATGAACCTCAGCATAATTGTATCACTGAGTTTGCTCTTTTCTTGAACTCTTCACGAGGTTTTTAAATATGCTTTATTAGCTTGACGTTTCGGCGGAATCGCCTTCTTCAGAGCCTGAAATGATCGTAACAATTTGTGACTATCGGATCAAACGTCTCCACCAACCCAACTAAAGCTCGAGACCCCCAGGGCA